GAACCGTCCGCGCCCGCCGGTGGCGGGAGCCCGGGAGCCTGCCCCGCCCTGGGGGCGAAGAGCTGCGGCTCCTCCTGTGCGGGTGAGGCGCGCGGGGAGGGAGGGCGAGCGGGAACTTAGGGGCCGGGAGGGATTAGAGACTCATCGGGGAGGCGAATTACCCTCGACTCCAGATGGCCTCGGCCCCCGGGGACAAGCGTTTGGAAAGTGGGCAAAGGGGGAGGGGAGCTAAGGTCGTGAGGCAGTGAGGAAATAACGGGGTGTGAGGAAAACAGGTTGGGGGCGGGGAGAGAGCCTAGAGAGTGGGCGTTAACGCCAAGGCTGGCAGGTGGGGAAGGCACCAGCTCCGTGACGGTGGGACGAAATGGAGAATTCTCGATGCTTGTGTTGAACGAGGAGGCGAGAGAGCCCTCCTGAACTGGAGTGATTTGGTGGAGGATTAGAGAGGTTGGGAAGATTGGGGCAGGTGGGTCGTGGGATAAAAGATTCCCTAGGATTTTGAGGGGATGGTGGTGAAGAGTTGTATTGCAGGTTTGCCGACAGGTGTTGACATAATCTGACATGCATAATAGTCCTCAAACATTTTATTTTTGGTTGTCTATGAGGAGGATGAGGAAGTTTAATGGAAGCATTGGAACGTGTTTCTTTACTGTTTTCGGCCCCAGTCCGTGAATTGCTCGATTTTTCTGAGGTAGGAGGAGGCGTGATGAGAATAGCTCAGGCAAGATTTGGGAGGGAGCTGCTGATGGTCCAAGATGGATCCGTGGCTGTATCTGCAACACTGCCTGCTCTTCGCAGCGCGGCGTGGGGGTGGGGACATGCAGTCAGTCGCCTATATTCGGAAAAATAATGAAAAGAGTCATGCCAAGCCATCAACATTTCATGATTGCTTGTTTTTCTGCGGGCTATTATTGATCACAGCGTAACAAAAGAGGGTGTTTACCTGCAGAAAGGGAAAAGGAGGAAATTTTTCAGACAAAGCCGGGGCCGGTTGAAGCCCCTTCTCTGTCTCTGAAAGACTAGGAGCTACAGGCCTCTTTTAGTTTCCATTGTACATGTGTCTTGCCTGCTGGTGGGAGCTGGCTGGCTAGAGCCTCTTGTGCAGAGATCTGCAGTGCAGATGCCTTCTCGAGGGAAAAAAACGCACCATGGACAGGTGGTGGTTCTTGCAGGAACTGAGTCTCTGAAGGGGAAAGGAAAAAAAAGCTTTGTGTTAAAGGAAGGGCCATAAGCCCAGAAGAGTACAGAAAAATTTGCCATCTGTTTAGCTACGTTAAAGGATTTTGAGAGGTTTTTAAATGTTTCCTTGTCTCCTTTGTCAGATTCTGGGGTTGATCGTCCTAAAATAATAGTATTTCTCTTCTTAGCTTTAAATATGTTATCTACATACTTTTCTAACAAAAGATTTCTACCTGTCTAAGAGCTTTGGTGCCCTGTTGGGTTCTCCAATGTGTTTATGGCCATTTCAGTAGAACACAGGATCAAGGGAAGCTTCTGCAGATACAGGAATGAGGCAGCAAATTTGGAACCCTTGTTCCCTGTAAACCACCAGCATTTCTCTTCTAAATTTTCATGTTCTGGGCTAAGGTCCAAATGAACATCAGCTTCCCTATAACTTAGCAACTTGGTCTTTTCGCCATCATCACTTGTCATTGCTTACTGTTAGTTGGCCCTTTTGTGCATACCTTTTGCTTCCTCCTGATTTTCAATTTTTGATTCAGACCTAAATTTTAGGAATTGGCCCTTTGTGCTCAAGGTAAGATGGATTTATTAAGTGGTGAAGAATCTAGTTATCAGCTTTAAAATTGAGTTCTAACATTTATAGCCAAATGATGAAATCATTTGAGAATCAACTTTATTACTTTAGTACACTGTTAAGAAAGAAGTGGCTACATTGATGTCAATGAAATAGAGTATTTTGTTCACAAACACATTCACCTACCACCACCACCAAGCAGCCCCTAAATTGACAATACAATTTAATTATATAAGATATATTGCTGTTGAGCTTTTATTTTGATATCATATACCCTTACAATTTTTATTTATTACTGATTTTGGCTTCTTTACTTTTACACTCTTTATGATAGTGTGAAAGGTGCTGAAATTATTTGTTTTGCTAAAAGCAGTGAAATTTATATTCTGAAATACTGCCCTAAGTACAGCATTATAAATTTAGTTAATTTTTTTCCTTTCCAATTTGCAAGAGGGTACATCCACCAGCAAGGGAGACAGAGAAAATGAGAAAGCACCTCCCCCTACGTGGAGGATGATCACTGCACAATCCCTTCTCCATTTCTCCTTTCTGGATTTTGGGCACACATACACCTGGCATGTTTCTCAAGCCACTGGGTCCAGGACTCAGACCGCGCAGTCATCCATATGGGATCCAGCCACCTTCACCACCAGGCCACCACCAGCTGGCCCCATATTTTCTAATACTTATTGGATGCCTCACTATTCATCTACTATTTCTTAATAAAATTTGGATTTCTTGGATCAGCTACAGATACTTTTTCACCGTTGGTGCTTAGCAGCATCTAATGTGTATAATAGTACTTGATGCGTATTTTTTGTGTGAATCATCAGATTTATGGGCTGAGTAGAAACGTCTGAAAAATAAATAAGGGCCCGCAGATGACGTAGTGGTTATGGCACTGTACTCCCACATGGGCAACCTCAGTTTGAGTTGTAGACTCGAAAATCACACCAGTCATGTGTGCGTGTGTGCCTAAAATCCTGAGAGAATGGAGGAAAAGGGGTTGCACCATCCCCCTTGTGGGGGGGGTGACTTCTCACTTTCCTTCTCTATCTCTTTCTGCATGCACGGTATGGCAGAACCCTTAAAAAAGGAGGGGAGAATAAAAGAAAAAAAATAGTTTCTATATATTTCTAGGGAGATATAAAATGTGTGAAGCACTCAATGGTCCAGTGCCTTAGGTACTAGTACAGCCAGCTATGTGGTAAGAATGCTTAGAGAAGGAAGTCCAGGGCCAACATGGCTTCCCAGATTTCTTCCTTTGATAGAAACCCAAGACTTCAGAGGCAAAAATTTGAGGTTGAGGTAAAAGAGACTGACATATTTGGTGTTCTTTTCAGAACAAGAATTGCTTTTATTAGACATTAAATATAGTTTACATGTCTACTGTCTGAACTTTAAAAATGCTTGATAGTTTGCTGCTTATAAAACATTAAAATTCTGTAACTTGCTAGAGATTGTTTCTTAATGTTGTGATGAAAATCATGATGTCAAAACAAAATTATATATCAAATACCTATATTCATACATATTTAGTTCAAATTTTAGGAATTGGCCCTTTGTGCTCAAGGTAAGATGGATTTATTAAGTGGTGAAGAATCTAGTTATCAGCTTTAAAATTGAGTTCTAACATTTATAGCCAAATGATGAAATCATTTGAGAATCAACTTTATTACTTTAGTACACTGTTAAGAAAGAAGTGGCTACATTGATGTCAATGAAATAGAGTATTTTGTTTACAAACACATTCACCTACCACCACCACCAAGCAGCCCCTAAATTGACAATACAATTTAATTATATAAGATATATTGCTGTTGAGCTTTTATTTTGATATCATATACCCTTACAATTTTTATTTATTACTGATTTTGGCTTCTTTACTTTTACACTCTTTATGATAGTGTGAAAGGTGCTGAAATTATTTGTTTTGCTAAAAGCAGTGAAATTTATATTCTGAAATACTGCCCTAAGTACAGCATTATAAATTTAGTTAATTTTTTTCCTTTCCAATTTGCAAGAGGGTACATCCACCAGCAAGGGAGACAGAGAAAATGAGAAAGCACCTCCCCCTACGTGGAGGATGATCACTGCACAATCCCTTCTCCATTTCTCCTTTCTGGATTTTGGGCACACATACACCTGGCATGTTTCTCAAGCCACTGGGTCCAGGACTCAGACCGCGCAGTCATCCATATGGGATCCAGCCACCTTCACCACCAGGCCACCACCAGCTGGCCCCATATTTTCTAATACTTATGCCTTGCCTCACTATTCATCTACTATTTCTTAATAAAATTTGGATTTCTTGGATCAGCTACAGATACTTTTTCACCGTTGGTGCAGCATCTAATGTGTATAATAGTACTTGATGCGTATTTTTTGTGTGAATCATCAGATTTATGGGCTGAGTAGAAACGTCTGAAAAATAAATAAGGGCCCGCAGATGACGTAGTGGTTATGGCACTGTACTCCCACATGGGCAACCTCAGTTTGAGTTGTAGACTCGAAAATCACACCAGTCATGTGTGCGTGTGTGCCTAAAATCCTGAGAGAATGGAGGAAAAGGGGTTGCACCATCCCCCTTGTGGGGGGGGTGACTTCTCACTTTCCTTCTCTATCTCTTTCTGCATGCACGGTATGGCAGAACCCTTAAAAAAGGGGGGGAGAATAAAAGAAAAAAAATAGTTTCTATATATTTCTAGGGAGATATAAAATGTGTGAAGCACTCAATGGTCCAGTGCCTTAGGTACTAGTACAGCCAGCTATGTAGTAAGAATGCTTAGAGAAGGAAGTCCAGGGCCAACATGGCTTCCCAGATTTCTTCCTTTGATAGAAACCCAAGACTTCAGAGGCAAAAATTTGAGGTTGAGGTAAAAGAGACTGACATATTTGGTGTTCTTTTCAGAACAAGAATTGCTTTTATTAGACATTAAATATAGTTTACATGTCTACTGTCTGAACTTTAAAAATGCTTGATAGTTTGCTGCTTATAAAACATTAAAATTCTGTAACTTGCTAGAGATTGTTTCTTAATGTTGTGATGAAAATCATGATGTCAAAACAAAATTATATATCAAATACCTATATTCATACATATTTAGTTCAAAGCAAAAATGACTTGGGCAGTAAAGAAAACGGATTTACTTTAAGTATTTCTTTACTCCCTCATGAAATTTAGTTTGTTTTTTTTGGGTTTGTTTGTTTGTTTGTTTGTTTTACAGGGGGGCAGAGGGCACATACAGTATGGAGGGGAGAGAGAGAACACCCCCCCATGAACAATGTTGAGGCTACAGTCCCTTCTCCATTTCTCCCTTCTTTCA